TCAAACAACAACAACAACAAAAACAGTATTTTAATAGCAGGGGTGACAAAAATTCAAACTTCTTTTCTCCAGAGAATATACGGGCCTTTGTACCAAAATGAAGTCATCTTCTAGCAACTTAGCACTAGACATGCAGGAGAGCTCCAGTCATTCAAAGTTTCCAGAAAGCCTCTGCCTGCCCCCCACCCCACACCCTCTTCACCTCTAGCCCAGGCTTTAAAGATTGTTCCTAGGCTTTGGGACAAATACAAACGTTTCTGCACAACTGTGCAGTGAGGCAGGTCCCAGGTAAATCCCGGGAATAACCAAGTGCAGCCGGTCCCAAGGAGCGCCTGGGGAGAGGGTTTGGTAACGAAGGAGGAGGGGGTGGGGAGGGATGAACTCGGCGCTGCAGGCGAGCCTGTCACTCCAGCTGACAGCGAGCCCCTTCAAGCTCCTCAGAAGGCAGCGCTCCCAGAGAAGGCGCGCTTAGCTCGAGGGAAGCGAACGCGGGCGCCTAAGAGGGGCGGGAGGGTGCGGCGTCGGCCCGCGCCTTGCCTGCCCGCCCCCGGCGGCCGCGCCCCGGTCCCGAGCGAGGGCCCGCGTACCTGGCGTCCGGCTCCGACTCCGACTCCGACTCCACGGCCGTCTCATCCTCCTCGCCCCCCGACTGCTCCTCGGCGTCCGGCGTCAGGGTCTCCTCTTCGTCGGAGCCGAGGGTGCTCTCCGCGGCGTGGCTGCCGTCGCTGCTCTCCATCGCGCCTGCCGGGCCGGAGCTGGAGCCGGAGCCGCCCGCGCCGCGCCTGCTGTTCTCCCTCTGACGGCGCCTCCGGCCCGGCGCGGCGGCTCGGGTTCCCTCCCGGGGGCGGGTGGGCCCCGCGACTTTAAATAGAAGGCGTCAAGAGGTTTCGCCACCGAGCTGCTGGGCCCGGGCTCGGCTTCTCTCTTCCCCGGCCTCTGCCAGTTTCCCCGGCCCTCCCCGCCCCAGTCCAGGCAGCTTCCTGGCGGGCCTTTGGGCAGTCGGCGGGCACCGCTCCGAGGGGCGCGGGCTCTCGCGGTCCCCGGCCCCTGCCCTCTGCCCTGGAGTGGGTTCGGTAGGCTTTACGTTTGGGGCCGAGCTGAGCTACTCAATGGGCACTTACCCAACCTAACAACTATTCTCTTACAGAGCAGAGCCCTTACTTACAGGCACTCGTAATTATGCCCCCGCCAGCTCTGCTGCGGTAGGTTTAACTGCGATGCTGGTTTGGCTCCGAAGAGCTCCGATGCCTACCTAGCTTGCTCAAAGCCTCCTTGCTAGCAGAGCGACCGAATGGGAGACAAAGTCGGCCCATTTCGAAAGCCCAGTTTTGAACCCGTCTCCTTTTACATTTGCAAATCAATAAACTGTGTGTTCTCTTTGTCAGTGACCCCTGGATTATTCAACTAGGAAACTTTTATCTCCACAAATCTTAAACTATGAAGAGGAATAATTCCCCCTAAGTTAGCCAAAGTCTGTTTTGTCTGAAATTCAACCCAAAGGCCCAGATCATGCTGTGCCTATGCTTAAGAGACTTCAATGGCTTTCCACTGCTCTAGGACGAAAGCCCAAGCTCCTTGGGAAGATAAAGGCTAACTCACATCATAGCTGCCTCCTCTCTTCTTTAGAAGTCAGGAGTTCTAACATATATCAAGTCATAACACCCTATCTTTATTTACAAATTCTTCTCCCCTGAAACTTTCTTCCCGCCTTTATTTTACCTGTATACTCATCATCCAAGACTGTACCCTTCTCTGGAATCCCCAGCTCAAGTTCAATACTACTGCCTTAAGTTCCCACATTATCCTATATTCAAATTGTTTGTCTCTTTCCCCACTAGACCGTAAGTTACTCATCTTTGTCCCACTCTCCCCATTTCTTACAAGCATGGAAGCTTAGCAAAGTATTTAGCACATATTAGGTGCTTAATCAGAGAAGGCAATGGCACCCCACTCCAGTACTCTTTTTTGCCTGGACACCTGTGGACAGAGGAGCCTGGTAGGCTACCGTGGCAAAGAGTCGGACACGACTGAGCGACTTCACTTTCACTTTTCTTTCATGCACTGGAGAAGGAAATGGCAACCCACTCCAGTGTTCTTGCCTGGAGAATTCCAGGGATGGGAGCCTGGTGGGCTGTTGTCTATGCGGTCGCACAGAGTCGGACACGACTGACAAGACTTAGCAGCAGCAGCAGGTGCTTAATCAATGTCCCCGGCACTGATGAGAACAGGACCAAGACCAGCTATGTACAAGTAGAGCTATCTTTACAATACATATTTTTCATAAGGATGATTTTTTGGCTAGAAGAGCTAACACTGATTTTTAATTACAGCAAACTCTATTCATAGAGTTGTTAAATATGATACATGTAAATTAGGCAGTATTCCCCAGTAACATGAGCTTATGTGTGCGCATTAGGTCTGTGAGCAAAGACCTGCAGCTAGTTGAGACGCAGTTCAGAAGCATCAGCTAGGGGCATGTGAGGAAAGACAGCAGAGTCCAGTCTTCCAGGGTTCACTAAATCAGGTTTAACATCAGAAATATGCCTTCTCCTACAGGAGCTAGGCTTTTGCATTAGTAATCCCAAATGTCTGCTCACTAGGACAAAAAGGAACCAATTACAGCTATGGGAATTATTAAATACTAATCAAAACCACAGATAGTCATTGTGTATTCCCTCCATTTAACTCAAAATTTCTTAGGAACACTAACTACAGTCAACAAGATTTGTGAAGACCCTAGCTCAAACCAATCCAAAGTTTAGAACTGCAGTACAAACTGCATGTTTTAAACTTTCTAACACTACTTTCTTAACAATGCAAATAAACAGAAATGGCCAGATCATAATAAACAGAATATAAAAGAATGTATTATTCACAACACAAATAAGTAATTCATATTGAAAACAATTTGAAAGCCTAAAAACTTCTTATATTGACATACCACTTATCTGACATATTTAGCTGTCACAAATGCATAATCTTAGCTTTGATTTACAACTGGGTATTGCTTTACAATACCCAGTTTGTATTGATGTACAACTAGGTATAAATTTATTAACATTTTGATCTATTTGTTATAGCAATACAGCTGAACCCCCAGTGGTCACTGAGAGCTGATAAAACAGTGGGTAAAGATGTCCATGATAAATTCTGGGGTCTTATAGGAAATGTAATACTGTAGCAGGAGAATGCCCTAGACACCTGAGAGCCACACAGGATTATGGAGTACTAGAGCTATTATTTATTGTTTATAATTATTACCTGGAGTCATTACGAGAATATTAATTAAATTCAACACATTCTCATAAAGAAGAGTTGCACAGTAAAAGATACATTTAAGAGAAATTTCCAGAAAAAAAATAGTATATAAAGCTTAATTACTTCAAAAGCATTAATCACTAGTAAACTGAAAAATTCATCTGTGTGGAAAGCTTCATTCCTAATAATGCCAGAGAAATAGGTGCTGATGTGGCTAGTTGGCTTAACCAAGAATGAACTTGATTCCAAGATTCTCTGCATAATCTAAATAATTACACACAATAACCGGATTCAGTTCAGTTCCAGATGAGAACTACACCCTTAATCTCATCTCAGAAGTAAAGACCTCCACAGAAAAAAACAACCCCCCAAAAACCATATCAACAATTTTCATATATAAACTTTATTCCATTTGATCATACAAAACTTTAAACTTAAAAGAAAAAAATGAAAATATGCACCTTTTACAAGTCAAAAAGCAAGTCTTAGCATTTGAATTGGTCTGCAAAAAATCCAAATACATTAGAGGTAACAAACTGTGCCACAGCAGGTCTAAAAAAAGTTGTACACAGTCCTTTTGAAAAAGTTAGAACTGTTTTTTAAGATTATTTGTATTTACATTTACAGGCACTGACCAATTTACAAATATTTACACCAAAAACAACCTTAATAAACACTGTAGCTTTTTTAGCAGCCACCACTATTTCTTCTTGTGGAAAAGAAATACTAAAAAAGAAACCTTTACAAATGCTATGCTTTTATTTATTATAATTTTATGTCTCATCTAGAACATTTTATAGTGGCTTACTATCAACAACTTCCAGTTTAGATTACAATCCTATAATTACACACAGATAAAACTCTGAATCTATCAATAGGATATAATCTCAATTTTGATCTTTCAGTTTCTGTTGCTTCATATCACAAGAAAAATAAAAGCAAGAAAACGGGAAGTAAAGCAAAAGGGCATATTGCACTAAGCTATCATAAAGCAGAGAACTTAATTTTTTCAAAATGTCTACACGGAACCGATTCTTCAAAACAATTCCCTAACTGCTGTACAAGACAGAGTTAGTGCTCATATTACTAGTGCAAAATGTACTGTTGCTCAACACAAAATTTAAAGCAATCTTGAGTCCACCAAAGGCATGTGAGGTACTAATGAAATGCTATTATGTACACAACCAGAGCCTCCGTGTTTCCTGATCAGTCAAGTGAGGGCTGAGGGCAACTGTCCAGTATTTCCTGTTCTATAGTTCTTTCAATGAAATCAAAGATGTCATTTTGCTTCAAGTAACTGAATAACTGACTCAAACCTTCACTTCACTAGAACAGACTCAGGCAACAAACCATCTATTGAAGGTTATACTTTAAGGATGTAGGAATCAGACCCTTTCCAGAAGTCCACATGTCTCTTCAGTGTTAGCATGTGGTACAATTAATTAAAGTTATAGCAAAAACCTTTTATTTGTTCAGATAATTCCCCCAAAAATATTTTATCTGATCTCCTGAAAATTCATGTCATAATGTTACTAATCAACAATGTAAACATTTTCAAAAATACATCTTTAAATCAAAGGGTTTTATTAGGAAACGTCATAATAAAATACGCACTCTTTATATAAGTATGTCTTCTTATGAATAAAACATGAAAACAAGAACAATTAAAAAGAAACCACGATGAAGGTAGACAAAACGTATTATGATGTAACTACTGTTCTTTATTAAGAAATAGAGGCCAGTTATCTTTTCAGGATAGCAGCTCTTAAAGGTAGTATACTGTTCAAATCTTTTCTGTTTTTCAATCTGTGCCATGACTGGAAGAGAAAGAAAAAATCATTCTTAAAACCTAAAATATATGTGAAACAAAGGACTGAAAGGGGAGTTATTAGAATGTTAACACTGATTTCCCTGGGCAGTAAAATTTGGGGTGACTTTTTTTGTGTTTGCTTTTAATCTCCCAAGTTTTTAACAAGAGTAAAACTATTGCTTCTGTCATCTGAAACAAAATGTTATTTGAAAACTTTACACCTGTATAGTTCAAATTCATTTATAAAGAAATGCACACACAGGTAGTACAAAAAACAAGCAACTGACAATATTAACATTTATTCACAGATTTAGATGTCATGTAAAATATGAAAGTAATACAAAACCTTTGGGTTTGAGAGAGCAGGGAAAGACTACTTCAATTATTTGATTGACTTATTTTGTATCTAGAAAGCTCTGTCAATTAAAAATTGTATTTATAAAGGAGAGAGTATATAAAGCATTTTACACAATGGATCTAGAAGAGTGAATAGAATTTTTAAGAAGAAAAAAAAGAAGGAAAATGAAATCCTTGTTTAGAAGCTAAAAATCAGGCCCACTACCAAAAACTGTGGCTGCAGTCTTTGAGTCTGCTCTTACTTCAGTTGTTCAACTGACTAAAAATATTGGTTTTATACCTAAACAGTCACCAAGTAAAGACATGTGGCGCTAGTGGTAAAGAACCCGCCCACCAAAATAAGAGACTTAAGAGATGCAGGCTCAACCCTGGATCAGGAAGATCCCCTGGAGGAGGGCATGGCAATCTACTACAGTATTCTTGCCCGGAGAATCCCATGGACAGAGCAGCCTGGCAGACTATGGTCTACAGGGCTGCAGAGTCAGAAATGACTGAAGCAACTTGGCATGCATGCAGGCACACTCATTAATAAGAATGACAATGTAGAAATGTTATTTTTGAGTTCTCAATTTAATCTGATAGACAAAATATTCCCTCTTGGATACTTGGTTTCCCCTGCAGAATTCCATTTCATTTAAAATTTTCTACTCTGGTTGACAAACTGAGAGGGCCTATTTAAAGGACAGCTTGTAATATGATACACTTGCATTTTTAATTATCATCAAAATAAAATCTACTTGGATGTCTTGATAAAAAAAACTAAACCTTTAAAATTCCTTGATCTCTTTCTTCTGTGAAGCACTCTCTCTTATATGTCTCAAAGTACATATTTCTATCAATGTGTTTCTACTCTGTACTGTTGAATTACTTGAAGCTAGGAGTCAATTTTAGCAAAATCACTGATGAATAAATTCATACTGCAGACTAGGGAGCTAAGAAATAAACTACAGTCTACATATATATGACTGAAGTTTATATATATAAAATGTGTGTGCACACACACACACATTTTAACTTCTTAGAATATAAAGAAAGATAAAATGGAGCTCTAGTTCCTTATTACAATTGGGTATACAGAAGAAAAACATGGAAGAGACATGGCTGTCTTCTAAAACTACAGGTTCTCTGACATTTTAAGGAGAGAAAGGAGGCCTTTAAATTTTATTCATTCACTTCGGCAACTTAATAATAAGCTCCCTGTGTAAATGCTTATCTCCACAAAGTGAAGGCCATGTGAGTAAGAGCAGAGTCAGATCTCTGTGGAGGCAAAGTATTTCTAAATTCAAGTAATAAAGTCCCTACTGTGCCCCCATTGATTGCTCCATATCACAGGAACCAGAGCTATTCTTTCCTATTACATACTTGTTTTTTTAATTTTCAAAGCACAGTAGTGCACTAATGTTTCTAGAGTTAATCTGATGCATTATTTACCTTTAAAAACTGATCCTTGATCATATCAAACTTCTGTTTTTCATGCACAGCTCTTGCTGTATTTGTTCCATCAAAAGGTTCTACAATGTTAAATGCACATATAAACAAGATATTATTAAAATGAGAACTTCAGTTTTTTATTTGATTGAATTCCATGAAACTGCCAATATTTTGACTGTTTCTGACCTACATAATAGCAACTGTATCTTCTTAGATTTATGCTTACAGAAAACAGTTTTATAATAGCTATGAACTATCAAAGTAGATACAATTAAAGTGAGATGTCTAAAATGAAGTAACCAGCACAGGTATTCAGTCTAAACCACAAAAATATTAAATCTAAATCACAAAAGTAGGTAAGATTTCTGAAGAGTTAGCAAGTCAGGAACCTACCATGAAAAGAATAAATATAAGTTAAAGAATAAAGAGTTATCAAAAAGAATAAAAGCACTATACCAAGAGATATGTCAATGTCAAATATCACAGAGAGGTAATTTTAAATTTAACTTAAAAGACCACTGATTTGTCTAGTAGGAAAAAGGTCAATGCCTTTGAAAGTAGAGGTTTAGTACCAGGGAGGACGGCAGACAGTGCAGAGAATTATGGTGTGACTAAATGGCTTGAAAAAGATGCAGTGAGAATGGTGACTTGCCGGCAGTGAAAGAGAGAAAACCAGGACAGCAAGTGGTCAAGACAAGAGAAGAGAAGCAGAAATTCTGTGTGTTTCCAACAGTACCTTCCGTGTATCCATCCTTACTCTACTCATCCTTCACCCACAAAATGAGGGAGGGGTTCGTATACAGATACAAGCTGATTCTATTTAAGCGAACAAGGAAACTGAAGATAAAAGTGAGAAAGGCAGGATAACTAAAGGCATTAGGAGTGAAATGGGGGCTGAAATAATGCCAGCAGTAGGTTAAAACTAGAGTTTAAGAATTTTAGCACTAAAAAAGAGGAAAAAAGTACAGAAAGATTCAGCAGGATCTACTTTGAATCAGTAGGATCAAGTCAAGAGTATTTTTCAAAGAGAAGAAGATCTATGTATGCTATAAAGTTCAAAGGAGGGACTAAACAGAATAAAGTTGTTAGAATGAGGGGGAAGACCTCAGAAAAGTGTGAATATGATGGAGAGGTTAACTTTAGGTATGTCATATAATCTAATCAGGTCCATAATTTTTTAAATTCCTTTTTTATATTGCTCGGAAAGGCTATTTCAAAAAAGAGTTTATTATCACTGTACTTCTTAGAACAGATAATGCCATATGCCAAACTATCAAATCACACAGTGTATAGCACTTTAAAACTGTGTTTAATATTCACAAGAACCAAGTAACTAAAATAATATAAACACACTGTAATTTAGCAAACCAAACACCAAAGCAGGGGATTCAATTTCACATTTATAAACTCTTAAAATGTTGCATTATAATTCAAGATTAAAATATTTTAAATTTGATGTTTTCCTACAAATGCCAAATTTCAACCCTTTATTTCCTTTTTATCTCAATATTTACAAATGTCATCAACCTGGCATCTGTGAAAACAATATTGCCTCTTGAAGTCAGTTTCCACCAACCTAAACAAACATTCAACTACATGTAAATTAATTTTAGAGAATAGAATATCTCACGGCATTTAATTTTAAATGGAAAATCAATTTATAGTCATAAAATCAGGCTCAAGCTTGTATCAATTGTCAATATTTAAGCATAAAAAAACTAATTTCATTTCAAAGGATCATCACATGAAGAAAGTTATTTTCTTCCACTTATAACTCATGAAACTAAATTTCAGCCAACTATAGCATGAGGGATGCATGTAGACTGCTCAAATCTTACCGACTAGAAACATTTAACACCTAAATTTATTAAATCATGTTTTAAAAATCAAAATCTGATGATTAAAAAACTTATAAACCACTTTAGGACATAAATGTATTACTTTTACATGAAATATAAGCTGAAATTATTCAAGTGATTCAGTCGGTACTAGATGAGTTGGATGGTAAACAGAAAGTAGTTGTGGGAAAACTACCTTCTACACAGATGTATTTATTTCTCCATTCAATACCATCAGGCCTGGGAATGGCTTTGGCTTCACGAACTGAAATCATCTGACTATTCCAGCTGTAAAAAGAAAAACATTCATGTTGTACAGCAGAAACTAACACATCGTAAAGCAATTATACTCCAACTTTAAAGAAAAGAAAAACATTAATCATATTAACTATCTTTTTACCTTCCCTTTTACTATTTTTATTATATCAATAGTGAGGCATACTATGATTTTCTCATAGAACTGAAATTCGCTTCCACTCTCTGCACCTCAAGTCTCATTGCCCCTTCTCTACTTCTTTTGTCTCCATAACACTTAGATTTCTAATCATTTGCTTATTTATGTTATTTATCGTGTCTCCTCTAACTAGATGAAAGCTCCAAGATGCTGAGCTATTTATTTTTGTTTTGTTTTTTTACTGTTCACTTAGTTGCTTAGTATCAACTAGGTATTCAATAAATATTTTTTGAATAAATGAAGTAATATGAAAAATAATTTGAAAAGTAAGCAAAAAACTGTTTCTTGTTAAACCCCAGTAAGAATTTTTTGTTAAGAGAGGTAATCTTCTTGTGTTGTTTTTTGGTGTCATTAAGTCATTTCTATTCAGGTGTACCTCTACTGATATGATTTATGGTAGAAATTTTAGAAAAAAAATACTCTATGAAAACATACTGTTATTGCTGTATATCAGATGTAGCTGTTTATAGTGAAGTTTTAGTCAAGCAAAACAATTTTATCAGCATGCCTGAAGGTCGACTGTCCAGTCTTTAGTAAGGCCTAACCTTACACTGTTGTTGTTTTTTTAATTTATAATAATTTTGTATAACTTTCCTTTTTTCAAAAAACATTTTAAAAACATATAACTACTCAGCTTGTATTCAAGAGAAATTGAATCTGGGGGAAGCTGGTATCTTTTTTTTTCAGCTGTGTTCAGCTTTTCCCATCATTCCAGTAGGAGGAAGACAATAGTTTGGGATGTTCCAAATGCAACACTCATCCTATTCTTCTATTTATTAGAGAATCCATAAGGATATAACCGTGGATCCAACATGGCCTGTTTCTGGAAAACTGACCAATTTCTATGTTAAACATGCAAGAAAACACTCCATCTTGTGAAGTTTCATAATTGAAAATGATCCTCAAAGTATGACTATTTTTTCTTATTAAGAGTACAGTTTAGGAATAGCTTGCAAAGATAGCTTTAAGTTCTTTAAAAATATATGTCAGAATTTATGCTTTTTAAAAGTAAGTGGGCTGTCAAAAAGAAATACTTAGTACTGGTTACAGTAAGATGGTTTAGGTCCTTAAATGTACAGCAGCCCCATTAATGTGGACTTAAAATAGAAAAGAAGTACTGTTCTACAGGTCCAGGTGTGTTTCCAAACTCTTAAAGACAACAACATAAAGGGGAGAGTTCTATAACCACACTGCCAAACTAAACAAGACTACAGCAGAATTACACTCTGCGCTACTTCACTTTATACCACGTAAGACAACTTCCACTACTAAAAATGAACTTCTTCCCGAGACTCCTTGTTTCAAATGTCAACTTACAGGACAGGTGAATCTGCAGTAGAATTAACATTGGAAACATTATGTTAAAGAAAAAGAGGTGAAAAAAAAAAAGAGGTGGACTGATTTTTTCCTCTCAGACAAGTTTAAAACATTGAAACACCGCATCCTGCTCTTAAACTAAAACTTTTACTTCCTTAAATCAAAGGACTCTCCTTATTTCTATTAAACTCAACCCTGAATTTCTAAACTGGATCACAGAAACAAATGTGACACATTCATATTCACTTTTTCATCCCTAACCAGATACTGTTTAATCTTCAACCTATAATCAGCCCAAATTATTATTTAAATGACTGTATCATCTGAAGTACTTCACAGAGGGGAAAAAATAATATATGAATCACTACTATTTAGACTTGATTCAAACTACTGCATTTTTAAAGAACTTTTAAATATGTCTAAATTATTAAATACTTCAAATCATAAAACATGATACATAACTTTTATACAATTTTTAATCTTATAGATGAATCTCAATGTAGAATTCAAACAGTAATTTAGAAATATTTTTCCTACACATTTCCTTCTTTAAAACAGGCTCTAAACTAAGCCTTTTGTCATACCATATTTCTCTACTGTAACTTCCTTATCGTATGAAAATCTGCTATTGTCACTCAATAATTAAAGTATAAAATAACACAATCTATAAAAGTTATGTTTCAGAAAAAAAAAAAACAGATATGGGACTTAATTTAATCTAAAACAGATTTGATAACAATAATCTTTTGAATATAAAACAGATTTCTGACTTTTTGTTGGTAAGATACTGGCTTTTTTCATCAGCAATGGTAATGGACTGGCACTCATTTTTTTGTGACAAAGTATTCTGACACAACTGATTAAATTGGAAATGTAGTATTCAACAACATTACAAAGAAAAATTCAAGTACAGCAAAGATAAAATGATGAGTCTGATACCACATGGCTGCATATATGCTAAAACTAGTCAAAGTAAGTGAAAAAATGGTATTTTTTTTTTTGTCTTAATAATTACTAAGGGCTGAGAAGCAAACAAACACTTTATTAGGGATTTCAAATCCTGTACACAGAAAAAACTTGAATCCTAGAGTTCTGGTTTGACTGGCTTTTCTTCTGCCTGACCCTTTAAATGCTGGTATCAAGACTTTGTCTTTTGCAATCTTCTTCAAATGCTAGAGCACCCTCCCGGGCCGGGCTTCAGTACTGTTTCTTTTCCTTTCTTTTTCTCCAGCACTATTAAGCCCCAGACCAAAATTTACGACTAACTATTGTAAACTACCACCAAGACGTCCTGCAGACAACACTGTGCCCAAATTTTTAAGACTAAATATACCCTGACCACGGTCAACTATTAAAATCCCTTCCTTGCACATCCCTCAACTCTCCTACCTGCTTTTGCAGCATTGAACTATAATTAAATCTTTGTTTATTCCAATCCTTTCCCAAGGAGTGAATCATGACTGAAGAAAAAAATATGCAATCATGTTGACCTTTCAACTTATGATCACTTTAAATTCATGATGACTTAGCTCAAAGGAATCCTAAATGCTGCTACCCAGCAGTCATACTATATTTCCATAGTTAACTCACTCCTTTAGTCTTCTACATAACAATTCATACCTTGTCCTCACTTCTCAAATCTCCTCCCTCACACATTCCCAGCTGATGTCCATTCTTCATTTCACTAAAAAAGTAAAACAGTCAAAAGATAGTATCTACTAGTTCCCACCACATCAATCCACACTTGTCTGTATATATTTTTTCATTATTATAATGAATTGTCAGTGCTTCTACTCCATTTGTGGTGTAGATTCCAATTCTTCTCTATTCAAACAAGACTGTTCAGCAATTTACTTCCACTTGAACTTCCTGGTGGCACAGCGGGTAAGAATCCACCTGCCAATGCAGGGGACGAGTGTGAGCCCTGGTCCAGGAAGACCCCACATGCTGTGGAGCAACTAAGCCCTAGTACCATGACTACTGAGGCCAGGTGCTGCAACGCCTGCAGCCTGCACCTGAAGTCTGAGCGCCACAGCCCAGAGTAGCCCCCACTCACAAGAGAAAGCCCACACAGAGCAACCAAGACCCAGCGCCCTCATAAACAAACAGATAAAACCATTTAAAAAATTTACAACTTTTCTGGTATCACCAATTTTACCATCAACATGGGTTATTTCTCCTTTCTAAACACAAATACTCAACTCCACTTAATCCTTCAATTTCTACCCTACAGTTTCTGCCCCCTTTACAAGTATGTAAATCCCCCTAGAGAATTAGCTACACTACCTGTATCTAAATCCTCCCCTCCCTTTCTCTCTTTAGCTCGAACCAATAAGGCTTTTTATCCATACTGTTACACTAAGACTGCTCCTGTCAAGGGTCGGGTAGCATCCATACTGACCAATGCTTCAATGGTCAGCTTTTAGTTCTCATTTTGTACTTGATCAATCAAAAATGCGACACAAATAATCACTCCCTTCTCCTTAAAATGTTTTTTTCCTCCTTTGATTCCAAAACACAACATTCTATTGGCTTCCCTCCTTTCTTAATGAGTTTTCCTTTTTAGACTACTATACTACATACTATGAACTCCTTATTGTCAAATTCAGACTGAAATTGAAGAAATTGGAGAAAACAACTAGACCATTCAGGTATGACCTACATCAAATCCCTTATGACTATACAGTGGAAGTGAGAAATAGATTTAAGGGACTACATCTGATAGACAGAGTGACTGATGAACTATGGATGGAGGTTTGTGACACTGCACAGGAGACAGGAATCAAGACCATCCCCAAGAAATGTTAGGGACCTAACAGAAGCAGAAGATATTAAGAAGAGGTGGCAAGAATACACAGAAAAACACTACAAAAAAGATCTTCGCGGCCAAGAGAACCACGATGGTGTGATCACTGACCTAGAGCCAGACATCCTGGAATGTGAAGTCAAGTGGGCCTTAGGAAGCATCACTACAAACAAAGCTAGAGGAGGTGATAGATTTCCAGTTGAGCTATTTCAAATCCTAAAAGATGATGCTGTGAAAGTGCTGCACTCAATATGCCAGCAAATTTGGAAAACTCAGCAGTGGCCACAGGAGTGAAAAAGGTCTGTTTTCATTCCAATCCCAAAGAAAGGCAATGCCAAAGAATGCTCAAACTACCACACAATTGCACTCATCTCACATGCTAGGAAAGTAATGCTTAAAATTCTCCAAGCCAGGCTTCAGCAATATACGAACCGTGAAATTCCAGATGTTCAAGTTGGATTTAGAAAAGGCAGAGGAACCAGAGATCAAATTGCCAATATCCGCTGGATCACAGAAAAAGCAAGAGAGTTCCAGAAAAACATCTATTTCTGCTTTATTGACTATGCCAAAGCCTTTGACTGTGTGGATCACAATAAACTGGAAAATTCTGAAAGAGATGGGAATACCAGACCACCTGACCCGCCTCTTGAGAAATCTGTAAGCAGGTCAGAAAGCAACAGTTAGAACTGGACATGGAACAACAGACTGGTT